CATGCCATTAATGCATTACAACATTCACTGATTACTTCCAATGTACCAGGATTTTATATCCCAAAGATCAGTAAGACACATTCGCAACTCTCTACTGAAATAGAGACACCCAAAGAGAATTATAATATAAGTTTGTAAAATGCAGAGGTAGGGAGGGAGCTCCTCCGAAAAGCAGCACTCACCCTGGCCTAACATTTTAGGGAAGGCTTCCTTGAGTTACATCTAATATTATACGACTCTTTAAAGAAAAATGGTTAGGTGAAAACAACTTAGGGGTAGAGGAAGAAAGATAAGGAAGGGCATTCCAAGTAGAAGAGTCTACATGAGTAAAGGCTTAGAGGCAAGAAATAGCATGATATACGAAAGTGATAAATAATTCAGTGTTTCAGACTGCAAATCAAAAATTACAGGTTCATGGTCAAGTGTGGTGGTTCATGCCTATAAATCCCAGCACTTTGGGAGGTCGAGCCGGGTGGGTCACTTGAGGTCAGGAGTTCGAGACCAGCCTGGCCAACATGGTGAAACCCCATCTGTACTAAAAATACAAAAAAATTGCTGGGCATGGTGGCATGTACCTATAATCTCAACTACTCAGGAGGCTGAGACGGGAGAATTGCTGGAACCCAGGAGGCAGAGGTTGCAGTGAGTAGAGATTGCGCCACTGCACTCCAGCCTGGGAAACAGAGCAAGACTCCATCTCCAAAAAAAAAAAAAATTACAGATTCAAACACCCAATCAAGTCAGTCATTCATTCAACCAAAACCTACTGAGTACTTCTATGCCTCACACAAATGCTTTAGAATGTGGCATAAGACAACAAAACAGATAAAAATGCCTGCTGTCATGGATTTTACATTTTAATAGGGGAACACAATTAAAAATACATGTAACAAATATGTAAAACATATATAGAATAATGATAAATGCTGGAGTAAAAAGAGGAGATAAAACAGGGTGGAGGAGACTGAGAGTATAGGGGTAGGTGCTATGGAAGTTGCAAAGCTGTAATTTAAATAGGGAGGCTGGGATATGCTTTACTGCAAAGGTGACATTTGAGCAACATGTAAAAGATGTGAAGGAATTAGCTGTACGGATCCAAAAGCATTCTAGATAGAATAAGCAGTCAGTGCAAAGGCCCTATGGTAGAAGCAGGTCTGGTGTACTTAAGAAACAGGGTGGTAAGTGTGGCTGAAATAAAGGGAGAGAGAACACAAAGACATGCAGTTAGAGAGGTAATGGGAGACCAGATCATGTAGAGCAGAGGTGTCTGATCTTTTGACTTCCTTAGGCCACACTGGAGGAAGAATTGTCTCGGGCCACACATAAAATACAGTAACACTAATGATACCTAAAGAGCTCAAAAAAATATCTCATAATGTTTTAAGAAAGTTTACAAATTTGTGGTGGGCTGCATTCAAAGCCATCATAGGTCACAGGCAGCCTGTGGGCTGCAAGTTGGACAAGACTAATGTAGACTATTGTAGGCCAACGTAAGCCTGTTAGCTTCTACTATGAATCAAATGATTCACGAAAGGTTTTTAAGCAAAAAAGTAATGTTATATTCTTCTGTATATTATTTTGGAATAATTCTGAATTTACAGAATATTTGCAAAGATAATAGAAAGTTCCCAAATACCCCTCACCCAGTTTCTTCTAATGTTAACATCTTATACTATCACGGTGCATTTATCAAAACTAAGAAACCAACACTGATACATTTCTATCAACTAAACCATAGACTTTATTTGGATTTCACCAGTTTTTCCACTAATAACCTCTTTCTGTTTCAGGATCCAATCTAGGATAACATATTGCATTTAGAATCTTACATGTAAATGTACAATTTTTGATTTATATTTTAAAAGTATCACTCTGGCTGACATATGAGAATAGACTGTAGGGAGGCAAGGACTGAAAAAAGCAGAGAATAGAACACAATTACTGTAATGCAAGCAAGAAATGATACAGGACAATAACAAAAAATTCGAGCAAGAGATGATCAGTATACTAATAGCAGAAATAGTAGAAAACTGTTGAATTCTAGATATCCTTCATAGAAAAAGCCAACAGGAATTGTTGGAATACAAGAGAAAGTAAGGAGTCAAGGATGACTCCAAAGATTTAACTGAGCAACTGCTGTATAAAGCTGCCATCAATTCAGATGAGAAGGAATGGGAAAGGTTTGGGAGGAAAGGAGTTCAGTCTGGGACATTTGAGTTCAAGATATCTTTTAAATATGCAAATGAAGATGCAGAGGTAGAAAAAGAGGAATTGGGACTTGGAGCATAGAAAACTCTTCAGAGGATTTTTGTTGCAGAGAAGAGCAAACAAATGGGGTTGAAAATGGAGAAAGGTTAAGAGGTTTACAACTTGACATTCTAGGATACATATAGATAGTAAAATGGTTACTTTAGTGAAGGAGATTAACACCTACCATCTACCTTATTTTTTGTGTGTGACAAGGGCAGCTGAAAATCTACTTATTTAAGAAAACTACCTAACACAATAAAATTGTATGAACTTTGGTCCTCACGTACATTTCAGTCTGAATTCAAAAGCCATGTGGGAAGAGAATGAGAACAAGTGGGGAGAAAAAAAGGACTAACTCTCGAACACGAAAAACCTCTACTGAGGTTAGGAAGGCTAGCTAAGGATGAGAGGAAAAAAGCAGAACAATTGTCTTTCAATATATGTGAATAACAGTGAATGAAAAAAGGTAGGTAATGTAAAAGGTAATGTAAATCAACCCTATCATTAACACTGGCAACAAAGTAAAAAGAGAAAATGGGGAGAAAGTGGTCTGGTGATATAAATGCAATACCAACTTAATACTAAAACCTTTTATAGCAGTCCTCTCCTTATCCAACGGTGTACACCCCAAGGCCCCAGGGGAAGGCTGAACCCAACTGCCTTCAATCTGAGCATGTTTCTTTTCACATCTTCTACCCACAAATTTAATTGCTTTATTATCTTAACTAAGTTTTTATCACGCACTATGGCTATAAGTTTGGCAGTCTGAGGTGTGACGGCAAAACTAGCATAAATTTCTTTTTGCTTATTCACAATTTTACAGATAGATTTGTTCTTACCATAGATCTTAGCAACATCAACATATGACATTTTTTTTCTTCCTTATTAAGTGGAGAACTTTCACTTTTTTGCTTAAAAGAGGCACTTTACAGCTACTCTTCGGCATAACCAAGTTGCCAGCATCGTTACCCTTGTGCTTTGAAGCAATAATTAAGTAAAATAAGTATTCCTAGAACACACGCACTGTGATACCACCTCCATCAATCTGATAACGAAGCAACTAAAAGGCAAGAAGCTTATACAGCAGGGATATGCTGAACAAAGAGATGATTCATGGCCTCAGGCTGAATGGAATGGGATAGAATAAGATTTCATCACAACTCAGAAAGGCATGCCATTTAAAATGTATGAAATATTTCTGGAATTTTTTTTTTTTTTAATTGAGATGGAGACTCGCTCTGTTGCCCACGCAGGACTGCAGTGGCACAATCTCGGCTCACTGCAGCCTCAACCTCCTGGGTTCAATTGATTATCCTGCCTCAGTCTCCTGAGTAGCTGGGACTACAGGTGTATGCCACCACACCTGGCTAAGTTTTGTATTTTAGTAGAGATTGGGTTTCATCATGTTGGCCAGGCTGGTCTCGAACTCCTGACTTCAAGTGATCCGCCCACCTCAGCCTCCCAAAGTGCTGGAATTACAGGCATGAGCCACCACACCCGGCTGGAATTTTCTACTTAATATTTTCAGGCTGTGGTTGATCATAGGTAACTGAAACTGTCAAAATCAAAACCTCAGATAAGGAGAGACTACTGTATTTAGTGCCTAATATATGCAATTCAACAGTTCCTCCATTATAATTCCTCCTCTCCAGAGACTTTTAATTTACCAAAGCCATGCACAATAATAGCCAACACTTTCTGAGTGCTTACTGTATGCAAAACACTTGTCTAGATGATTTACTTGTAATAACTCGTTTAATCCTCATAACACTGAGGACACTTTTGCACTGGCTCCACAGAAAAATATAAATATCCACTATTTTTACATATGATTCGAATATACCCAAGAAAACACAGTTGGAAATATTCTTCCAGATGCAGGTGAGATAAAAATTTTTAAACAGGTCAGACGCGGTACGGTGGCTTACACCTGTAATCCCAGCACTTTGGGAGGCCGAGACAGGAGGATCACTTGAGCCCAGGAGTTAGAGACCAGCCTAGGTAACATAGTGAGCCCCATCTCTACAAAAAATAAAATAAAATTAGCCAAGTATGGTAGCATACACCCATGGTCCCGGCTACTGGGGATACTGAGGGAGGAGGATAGATCACTTCTGCCCAGGAAGTTGAGGCTGCGGTGAGCCATGATTGTGCCACTGCACTCCACCCTGGGCAACAGAGCAAGATCCTGTCTCAAAAATAAAATAATAATTTTTGAACAAAGGAATAACACAGTCAGATTTTATTTCTAGTAAGGAAAGGATCCAAGATGGTTTTAAATGAGGATTCATTGCAAAGCTGCCAGAAAGACTTTTGAAATTGTGATATAATCTGAAAACCAAAAAGTAGCGGGTTTATGTAAGACGATGCAGCTAAACTACCACCTCCCAAAAAAACTCACGTCAGATTAACTTTGATGTTTTACATAAATGCAATAAACATTATACATATTTGTTCAGCCTCATTTATTGGCACATGTGTTTCTCTCCATGGATAACTTAAAAACTGGCAATGTCGTTCTTTACTATTTTGAAGCTCAGGTACATAAGAAGCCATGGCCTAAAGTTAATTAAAACATATAGACATAGCAAATCAATTGTGATCTCTAACAAGTTAAGCTTTCTGATGCTCTTCACAGGTAGCCTGAAGCAGAGCTTCACACAGAAGTATTACTCTTAAGTGTAACAAAGATCAAGACAATCTTCACATGAAAGCAAGGGCAGTTATGTCTACAGACACATTTACTACCCTAAAAGCCAAGCTCGATAAGTTGCACAACATAATTTCCATAGCTAAACCAAGTTTGTTTAATTTGAATGGCAAGACCTAAAAGGTATAATATAAAGGAATTACAAGACAGAACATTAAAAGACTTTTTTCTTCCTCAGGTGGAGAGTACTGTATTTTTTTTATACCTTTCTTTTTCCCCTCTCCCACAACGTTATTAAATTCCTTAAAAGAACAGACCATCTTTGTTCCTATGCTGCAATCTCAAGATCTATGAATAAAGCAGGCACCCAGTAAATACTTGCTAATTTGTGTAATTGACCAACTCTTGACAATTCAATATAACAGACTCAAATATCAAGTTAGTTAGAGTTTAAAACAAAACCTTTGTGTGCCCTAGTGAACGATGTAAACACGAACAGCAGAATCCAAAATCTTCTAATCATTTGTGTTGCCCTAAATACAAAACGGTCTCATAGGCCGAATACAGCTCATAAACCAACATCTCACGTGAGTTACCTTCTCTCTATCCACCTTCTAAGTCAATAAATAAAATATTGAAAACATTCTGAAAAGAACCCTCTGCTGCCTGAGAAAAAATACACCACACATTTAGAGCCAAAAGGTTGCCTTAAGGGGGCAAAGAGTGAAAAATTCTCCTTTCTAATACTTTATCAGAATTCCAAGAACTACGCAAATTCAAACACGTCAAAGCTCCTGTTTCTCCATCGATAAAATGCAGAAAGAAAAACGTGCGTGCGTGTGTGTGTGTGTAACAGAACCTCACCTAATGGGATAATTAACATCAGAAAAAGCTAAATTCTACTACTGATTAAAAGTTGGCTTGTCATTTGTCTTGCCAGTTGATCGCTCTAGAGTACCTATCAATTGCTGCAGTCCGTAAAGGGCAGTTCCTTCCCATTGGTTACCACAGAAAGTTCTTTCCTGACCCCAAATTGCCTAGTGCGTTTCAGTCACGATGCCTGGATGGAACCCACAGTTGACCAATATCTGGGGATTGAAAGGACAGGCCGGTGTTGGGGAAATGCTCACTACCCTCTGGATTCAACTGTCCTCCCAATCCCACAACCAACACAGAGCATTTCAAAAGTGCTTCGCATTCCCAAGAATCCCCCAGATGCAAATGGAGAAACTGAAAAGAAGGTGAACAGGTAGGTTCGCACCCTGAGGATGATGCCGGGAACCCTAGCATCCCCAAAAGCCCACAAGAGGAAGGCGCGGGAGCTCACAAATTGAGGGGGATTCTCACACTGTGGAGTTCTAGGGGTAAATAGCAGGGAACTTTTTTAAAAAGAAAGCAAAAGATAAAAACAGAAAATCATATTTTTGTTATTTAAAGAGGCAGCCCCACTTCCGGACCCTACCTCTCCGTGACTGTACTTCCGGTCTCCTCCGAAACGCCCGCTTTCACAGATCAAGTTCTTGCAACCAATGAGAGCATCAGCTACTTCCGCCGGTCTGCGGGGCGTGGTCTAAATCCCGCCTTTTCCGGTGGAGGGGAGCCTATCCTAGCGTCCTAATCGCCCGGCTCAGTAGGCGGTGCCGTGACAAGCCCAACCGGACGGCTGGAGAGGGCGAAAAGGGCAGACGGGGCGTGCAGCCTCTTCCGCCTGCGGCCCGGAAGGGTGATGTGGCTGCGGTATCGCCGGCCTCGCTATGGTAAGAATTGGGGCTGCCGGGTCGCGGTTCATCTTCCAGAAGGGATTGTGGGTCTAGACTAGGGCTGGAGGTTGTGCGGCAGCCCGGGGTGTGTGGGCCTTGCAGCCATGTGGTCCCTCCACGGTCAACCAGAGAGAATCAGGACGGACTGTCCAAGAAAGACTCCTGGGTCGCGGAGCCCGCCCCTCATGCAAAGTCCGCTTTCCTACTTTGTTTAGGAAAAAAAAAATGCTTTGGTGTATTTTAACACGTTGGCTACGTAGATTATCTGGGGTCATTGAAGCTTTGAAGCGTTAGAGCTTCTCGAGTTTCCGCTTGTTTTCTTGCATCTCCTTATCTCACCCTAGGGGCTTTACTCTGGTGTTATTGTTTGATTTTGTGGGGAGGTTCCTTTGGCACCAAACTCCATACCTTCGTTTTCAGCTGTTTAGTCAATAGCCTCTCAGGACCCTTCCACATTATTCTCTCAACTTTGAAAATGCTACTTTACAAGCTATAGGTTTTAATAATTAAGAGTTCTCTGCAAAGGTGGATTGCTTTTCTAGGGGCTTAATATACTTATTGGAGTGGTGTCTGGCCTCAGGCCTTCCTCCTCTTTCACCTCCAAGTCCATTTGCCAAATGTTGTGTATATTTCTGGGCAAAGGATGCATGCCTGCGAATAGACCCAAAAACAACTATGACTCCAAAAAGCTTGAGTCTCATGGTGAAAAATTATGAGCCCACGTTCACGGAAGTTGCTACAGAATCCCATATAGCAATAATTCAGTTTCTTCTCTGGACGAATTTACCACCTGATGGGAAGATGGCAGTTGAGACTAGCAAGACTGTCACTCTTAATTCTTTTACATCTTTCTAAAAACTGAAGTTGAATTATTTTACTCGTAGTGCAAGTCAAAGATAACTCTTTTTTATTATCTCACTATCAGACTAGCTAAAAACAAGATGCATATACTGTGCTGAAGATCATCAGTATATAAACTATCTTGTCATGCTTGTTTTTCCAAAAGTAGCATATACTTTCATTCATTATCAAGCCCTATGTACCAGGCTCTTTTCAAAAAATCAGTTTATAAGCATGGAAATATCAAGTTCCCCACAACTTCTAAGTAGATGTTTACGAGTGAAAGAAGTGAAACATGAGGAGATTGACTTGCCTTGGATCACACCTAGTAGACTGTAAAGCCAGGACTCAAACTTATTTTAATGTCCAGATGCCCGAAATCTTCATGTTGTTATCGATAGAAACACAACATAACTGAGGATGAAATAAGTCTTAGTAATTTGTTCCTTATAAATATAAATATATAAATCAGACAGAGGTGGAAAACAGAAACAACTGGCAGGTGGTGTTTTATTGCTGTGAGATGTCAAAAGTACATTGTTGGCAGAGCTACGAAGTGAGGTTTCAAGGAGGCTAACTTAGCGGTTTGAGAAATGGATTAGTGTCTCAGTATCTTTGAGTTTGCACCTAAACTTAGTTTATTTGTGAGGTAACCCAATGCTAATGACTTAATAAACCTGAATTACTGTATTTTAATGAATCTTTTTTCTTTTTTTTTTTTTTTTTTGAGATGGAGTCTTGCTCTGTCGCCCAGGCTGGAGTGGGCAGTGGCGTAATTTCGGCTTACTGCAACCTCTGCCTCCGGGGTTCAAGCGATTCTCCTGCCTCAGCCTCCTGAGTAGCTGGGACTACAGGTGCGCACAACCACGCCCGGCTAATTTTTGTATTTTTAGTAGAGACGAGATTTCACCATGTTGGCCAAGATGGTCTCGATCTCTTGACCTCGTGATCCGCCAGCCTCAGCCTCCCAGGTGTTGATATTTATTTGGAAGTTTAGTGATGCTTTTGTGACCAGAAATATGCCATCGGATTACAGGCATGAGCCACCGCCACGGCCAAGAATCTTTTTAAAAAGCATTTCAAGGACAAAATGTTTATCAGCAGTAATAATTTACATCTGTCAGGATGAACAGTAATTGTAGCACTTGTGAATTAATACTTTTAAAAAATTTCAGAATGCCTTGTTTCCCCCAATGCCTAACATCCTTCAACATTTCTCTCATGTCTCATCTCTTTCCAAAAAGCCTCCCTTAACCCTTTCTATTTTCTTCTACTCTCTCTAGGTATCTATAGGGATATTCATATATACTTCCAGTATCCCTCTAGCATAACCCTTTTCACAGAAAACAGCAATAAGGTGTTGCCTACATTTCTCCTTCTGTAGGCAGAATTCTTAAAGACTAGGTATTTTAATCTCTACAGTCATAGTGCCAGCTAGAGTTAGTGCCATTAAGAGTCTGGACCTGTAATCCCAGCACTTTGGGAGACCGAGGTGAGTGGATCACCTGAGGTCGGGAGTTGGAGACCAGCCTGACCAATGTGGAGAAACCCCATCTCTACTGAAAATAAAAAATTAGCCAGGCGTGGTGGCGCATGCCTGTAATCCCAGCTACTTGGGAGGCTGAGGCAGGAGAATCGCTTGAACCCAGAAGGCGGAGGTTGCGGTGAGTCGAGATTGCGCCATTGCACTCCAGCCTGGGCAACAAGAGCGAAACTCCATCTCAAAAAAAAAAGTCTGGGGATACAGACATGCTCGGTGTCTTCAGGGATTTCACAGTCCAGTGGGGGGAGATGATTAAATAAGTGAATTCCATCTGTTGTCTGTTATGATGTAGCATGACAACACGTGTAGTGGAAAGAGCATGGGTTTAGAATGAGCCAAACAGAGTTAGAATCATGCCCAGTTCCCATCCTTTACTTGGTTAACTGTAAGAGAGTTTATTTTCATGTCTTTTTCTTAGTGTGCTAAGTGATTTTCACAAACTCCGCAAAGTAGGAATGATTGCCCACATTTCATAATTAAACTGAGTCTCCAGAGAATAGATGTGAAGTATTTTCTCTCTTCTTGTAGCGGAAGATATGTAGAAAATCATTAAACACAGTGGAAGGAGTAGTACTGGCTGGGAACTGCTTGAGAGATGTCCCCAAGAAAGAAAATAATTCTCTCTCACCTGTATGTTAAAGAGTATTAGGGTCATTAGCTAGAGGTGGGACAGCGATCTCTATCCCATAGATAAAGGAAATGGCAGTTATGGGAACAAAAGGCATGAAGTTCAACAGTTGCATGGAGCCTCAATATGGCAGGAATTTAAAAAAAAAAAAAAAGTTAAGTATAAATGAGGCTAGAAAGATTAGGGCCAGATTTTGAAGAGCTTTGTGCCATGCCGAAGACTTTATATTTTGATGATGTTTAATTGCTTACTTTATAAAGGCTTTGGAGCAGAGAAATAAAATTGGTGTGCATTTTAGAAAACCAACTGGTAACAATATGGAGAGAGTATATTTAAATGGAGGAAGATTAGAATCTGGGAGACCAGCTTGAAAACAAGTGCTGTAGTTCAGGTATACGATGATTGAATGTCTCAACTCTGATGACCGTTGGGTTGAAAGGAAAGGAAAACTAGGAAAATCATTTTGAAGGTACTTAGTGAAGGGTGATGAAGCACAGCTCCAGCTTGGATGATTTATTGGATGGGAAAGAAATACAGCAGATCCTCAATAACGTTTATGAGGAAGAAACTCCATTCCCAATTGAGGCCACTGTGTGGAGTTTGCATGTTGTCTTCATGTCTGTTCTTCCCATGTCTGCATGGATTTTCTCTGGGTACTCCAGTTCCTTCCCACATCCCAGAGATGTATAGATTAGGTTTGTTGAGGTGTCTACACTCTCCTAGTTTGAGTGCTCTGCACTGGAATGATGTCCTATACTCAAAGCTACTCAGATGGCTCCCGGCACCTTTAACACTGTACTGAAATAAGCCAGCTATCTTACTTGTTTTTATTAATCTTTCTTAAGTGAATGTATAACTCATATTTATTTCAGTGTTTAATATTAGAAGGGTTTTGATATTTATTTGAAAGTTTGGTGATGCTTTTGTGACCAGAAATATGCCATCGGAACTTAACTCGTGTTTGTATCAATTTGCCTATGGTAAAATTGGTTTTGTTACACATCTTTTGGCTTAAAGTTGCATTTTCCAAGGACCTGTGGATGACGTTAAGTGAGGACGTACTGTGTTGGTTAAGCATCTACTCTGACAGGTGTTTTTTATACAAGGTTTTATTAAAGACGTATTATTGGCCATATTTTTCATATGAAGAAGCAGATGCAGAGAGCTAAGTGTCTTTGCCCAAGATCACACTGCTTATAAATAGCAGAGCTAAGATTTAAACTGAACTGATTCGTCACAAAATGCTGTGCCCTTTCTATGCAACAGTATCATTAATTGCACAAAAATATTAAGAAAAGCAACATTTTTATGTCATGGGTGGGTGAGGAGGTAGCAGTTTAGATAATAATTCTGTTGCTAGTATTGCTTTTGCGTCATCCGTGAAAATGGCATCACAGTTGAAAGGCAAGTATCTTAGTATTATAAAAACAGTTCTGATCTTACGAACCCATGAAAGGGTTCCATGAATTACACTTTTGATAACCACTGCATTAGGCTAATAGGAATCTGATGTGGGTGCTGGTCTTCTCTAGCAAAGTTTTTGAATACCAATTGCAAATAAAAGCTTCCAGATGGCTGAGGCAGGCATTCAAGACTAGGCTGACCAACATGGTGAAACCCCATCTCTACTAAAAATACAAAAAAATTAGCCAGGCGTGGTGGCGTGCACCTGTAATCCCAGCTACTCAGGGGGCTGAGGCAGGATAATTGCTTGAACCCAAGAGGTAGAGGTTGCAGTGAGCCAAGATCACGCCACCACACTCCATCTGGGTGAGAGACCGAGACTCCGTCTCAAAACTTCCAGGGAGTTTCAAGAAACTATAGATACCCAGACCAGTTAAATCCAAATTTCTGGGCAATGATGGCTTTTTAAGCTCCAAGTGGTTCTAATAAGCAATTAGATTTCATACCATATAATAGGACATTTTATCAGTCTTTGTTTTTTCTTGGTTGCAAGGTCAAAGTACTTTACAACAGGCTTTGCTC